TGAATTCGCTCCTCTGTTAATTGTGCTTTGTTTTCTTTCGGGTTTCCTCTCATTCTCTCTCAAGCCTTTCTCGTGTTGATCTCTTCTCCTCGGAAACATAAGGAAATGGTTTCAGCTTTGGCTGTTTGTGGTCAGCGTGATGACTCTGCTCTCTGTGGTTGTTGTTGCCCAACTCATCCCCTTCTGATGGAGCAGACATGTAATATTGATGCAGAGCAGACTCAGAGAAACACGGGAATCAAACAGAATCTGAACTAAGTTCAAATGTCGACATCAACATGTGCATTTTTTACTTCTGCAAACCTACGAGACGACGCTGCTTCTAAGGGGAGCCACATGGGTACGTGTGGCAGGGAATATATTTAGAAATAAGTGATGTTTCAGCGTCTCGGTGCGTTCCCAGCTTCGTTCAGCTCCACTTCATTTATGAGAAGAACAAATACTTGTTGAAAGAGGTTGTTCAGGAAATGGTGCTGGAGGTTAGGCAGACAGACTGAATGTTTCTTTTTTATGGTTTGTTCTTTTAAAAGCACCCTGAGAAGGGCAGCTCTTAAAGTAAAGTCCTTTTCAGTGTGAGTCTTCAGACCATTTAAACAAAATCAAACCTTTCCTTGCCTTTCTATCGTTTTAGAAGATTTTATAGAAGAGATGTGGAGAATTTAGTTTGTGGTTAATTAATCCTGAACTGTTAGCCCTCTAATGCAACAAGACCCACTGCCTCATCAGTGCCTTAGCGGTAATTTCACTTAAACGTGGAGTGAATCTGTGTCCAATCACATCGGGGGTCAAATGTCAATAGATCTAACAGATGTCGCCCTGCTTACGCTCGATGCCGAGTTTCATTTATCCGACGCGCGTTCCACGAGCACCGCTACATTCAAACACAGATCAGCAGAGATGTTTGTCTTTAAATAGGATGAAAAATAACGGAATAATCAGTTTGTTAAACGCAGCTGGTAGTGAGATGTGCTCTCTGATACGATTCCTAGACACTTGGAAATGAAAGCGAGGGTGTCAAAGCAGGTAACACTCAAAATAACATCAATTATCTTCTATGAATGGTAATAATTAACACATTTTTATTTATTCACTGGTTTAATTAGACATCAGTAACCCCACCGCTTAGAGCTTTTGCAATAGGATAAGCTACATTTCAGCATTTAAACTGAAGAAGTGAAAAAAAACCAAAGTTGCTGCCAGCAGCCTGATAGGGTCACCGTGGTAACCACACACCTGTCTCTCTCTCGGACCTCCGGTAGATGGAAATGCAGAGTGGAGCCTCAGATTAAGTGTCACTGTGAGAAAACTTAAAGTCGTATTGTAAGACGACGACTCCCAGGAGGGAGGAGTGATCTGTGATTTAGCTCATACTAATAAAGTTCTCTCCTGTTCAAAAGTTCGGTTCTCTGAACCTTTCTGTTCAAACTCAGGAATATTCTTAGATGAGAAGTAAAGAAATAAAAGTCCTGTTGCTTTTTCTGCGCCTACAAAGATTCCTGAAATTTAAAGGGCCTGCCGTCTGAGAAATGTGTAATATTTGTCCTTTTGAAATAATTATCAGTCTAGTTGGGTCAGTTCTGATCTGCAGAAAATAAATAAATGAGAAAGAAAAAGTCACACAGATCTACATCACACTGTAAAGTTAGCATTTGTAAACTCAACCAGCGTCCTGGAGAAAGCAGAATGCATTTCAGCTGGTAGAAGCTAACTGTTAGCAACTAAAAAAACCATAGCGAAGCACGTTGGGGCTTGTGTTATTTAAGGAGATAAAACATCAACATTGCAACTTTTAGCCAAGTAAGAAGAAGAGTTGCATTGTTAGCCAAACTAAGGTGAGAGGTTTGCATGTCAGAAATACTAATGACTCCAAATCCAACAAGCCCCACGACTAACTTCTACTTCCAGGCACATGAGCGACTGACCACAGCAAATTGCTTGACAAAAATTGTGAATTAGAGCTTTAAATGTGTTGAACACTCATTTAATCAATACATTTGCAGTGGTCCCTAATAGGAATGAATGCCTCATAAGTCGTGCTCTGGGGAAACAAAGCTCTGGTGCACCATTTTCAGGAACTAGAAGTATGCCACATCACAGCTAGCGATGGGTACCGAATTCGGTACTTTTTAAGGTACCGACCGAATTCCACAGTACTGACTGAGCACCGATTCACGTCATTTGAAACGGTGCCTCGTTTCGGTACCCGTCCTTTATAACGAGAACTTGCCTAGACAGCTGCGCATGCGCAAGAGCGTTATGTCGTTGGTCGCTGCGAGCCAGTTGTAAACAGAGCAGCATGGTGGAAAGAACGCACGCTAAAGCTTGGGTCCACTTCACTAAATGTGATGGGTAACTGGGTGATGATGAAACCAGCGACAACGATCTAAGTGAGACATTTTCATCTTAATCTGCTCTGGTAGGTAAATAAAATGTTTAATATAACATTAGCTTGATATGTTAGCTTCCGTTTCACTAATGGTGCATTTGCATTCTCCTCGGAACTCCGATTTTCCGAATTGAAGAACATGAACGCGCTCTAAATTTGGCTTCACTTTACTAAATGCGACGGGTGATTGGGTGAAGATGAAACCAGCGACAACGATCGAAGTGTGAGGCATCATCGTTTTAATCTGCTCCAGCAGCTAAATAAACTGTTTAAGATAACGTTAGCTTGAAAAATTTGCTTCCATTGCCACCATTGCTATCAGCTAATGGTGCGTTCGTTTTCTCCTCGGAAATTCTAGCTTCCCAGTAGGAAAAATCACACGAAAAAAGACGGCAAAAGGAATGAAGATTCACAGTAAATTTAGTTCACAGTAAAGATGTTTGCTTCAGTTTAATTATCAGCTTATAAAACTACAAGGACGATGTTAATACAAACAGTTGAATGTTATTTATCGTGATATTTATCAAATACGGTTATATATTGAGAAAAATATATATTTAATTATAAAAGAGAATTAAAATATTAAACACTAAAAAGTATCTAAAATTGGTACCGTTAAGTACTGGTATCGATTCCTAGGTACCGGGAATTAGTACCGGATCGATTCAAATGTCAAAGATACCCATCCCTAATCACAGCTGAGCTTCAGACGGCTAGGTTCGGAGTCTTATTTCCTAATATTTTGACATCTCACCTCAGATTGGCTAACAGCACTCTACCACTGCTTTGCAACATTGATGTTTTAAAGTGGGAAGTGAACGTTTGGGCAGCCTTTTTAATCTTCACGATTTTCCTTTATAAATTGTTGGTTGTTACAATAAAAAATGTCAGTTAAATATATCATAAATGAGACACACACAATGATATTTCTGAGGTAAAATAAAGTTTCGAGGATTTACAGAATGTGTGCACACAGGGTCCGAAATTAACACTCGCCACTCACCAAATGCGAGTAAATTGCTCCATTTGGCGAGTAAATTTTTGAGCTCTATCTGCCACATAGCGAGTAAATGTTTGCACCAAATTAGTTATGTTTATCAGTCATCTTCCATGGATTTCTGTGATACTCCTCCCGCCTGCATGCAACGTACACAAACGTACGCGAAACGTGAGCGCCGCATCAAACGTCATTTCCACCTATCCCTTTCAATCAGTTTATTAAGTTAGCAGTTAGCTTCGTGTTAAAACTAGTGGTGAAATGTGGCGGTTTTTAACTGGAGTCAGCCAGCCTTCCAAAAGAAAACTCGTCGAACTGGAAGAAAAACCACCAGGACCAGTGGCAACCAGAAGATTTTGTGAAAAGTGGCGAACTGGAGATGGCAGAGTCGTGAGACAATGGCTACATTATGATGGCCACGCAGCGTTGCTGCCTTTCACAGACACTTTTTCTGCTCATGCTGCAAACAGGATAGCCATCTTCCTGGTCATCCAGGCTCCAGCTACGCCACTCATCCTGGGTCATTCCTGGTTCTGCCGTCATGAGCCTCACATCTCCTGGTCCACCAGTAAGGTCCTGGCCTGGGGCACGGATTGCCATAACCACCGGGGCTCCCCTGCACCTCGGACTAGAGCAGCCCCTCCCACAGACGTAGACCTGACGCTCGTCCCTCCTCATTACCACGACCTCGCTCAGGTCTTCGCTAAAGAACCCATTACTAGGTTACATCCCCATCGACCCTACGACCTGGAGATCAGGCTACAGCCCAGCCCCCCCCCCCCCCCCCCCCCCCCCCCCCCCGGGGTCGCCTGTTCTCCCTCTCTCCGGCGGAGGCCCGGGCTATGGACAATTATATAACTGATGCCCTCCAGAAGGGATTCATCCGTCCCTCAACATCCCCCAGGGCCGCGGGGTTTTTCTTTGTAAAGAAGAAGGAGGGGGATCTCCGGCCCTGTATTGACTATCGAGGGTTAAATAAAATAACGATCCGGGACCGTCACCCTCTCCCTCTCATGGGCACCGCCCTGGACGCCATCACACAAGCCGCTGTATTTACTAAACTGGACCTGCGCAGCGCTTACAACCTCATCCGTATTAAGGAAGGTGAGGAGTGGAAGACCGCTTTTATCACGCCCACTGGCCACTATGAATATCTCGTGATGCCTTTTGGCCTCTGCAACAGCCCTGCCGTCTTCCAGCGGTTCATTACAGATGTGCTGAGAGACATGTTGGGTCGCTGGGTCTTTGTTTATCTAGATGACATCCTCATCTACTCCTGCACGGCCAAAGAGCACATCCGGCATGTTCGAGCTGTTCTGTCCCGCCTCCTAGACCATGGACTTTACTGCAAACTGGAGAAGTGTGCGTTTCACCAGGAGTCCACCTCCTTCCTGGGTTTTACCATCTCCTCCCGGGGCCTGAAGATGGACCCCCAGAAGGTTCAGGCAGTAGCTCAGTGGCCTCTACCCACGACCCTGAAGCAGCTGCAGAGCTTCCTGGGTTTCTGGTATAATGCACCCTTCAACACTTACAGAAAAACTAACAATCACATCTCAGTCTAATGTACCAACTTGACCACATTCAGCTGTTAGAAAGTAAACCGCCCCGACCACAGAGAAGATTCTTGGCTCGACATTTAATTGTTTCACAAAACCGTCAGAAGCTACATTGAATACATGATGACACACGGGAAAGCATCTGCAAAGAACACCTTTAGGAAACGGTAGAAAAAAGTTACACAACTGTATGAAATATCCACGTTCAAAAAACGGTACTTGTTTGGCACTCGGAAAAAAAGTTGCTGTTTTAGAAAGTCACTCATCACGTTAGCTTAACAGGTCGTCGGAGCGCTTCCTCCTCTTTACTGCCTTCATTGTTGCTGGTGTCATTTTATTTTCTCTCCCCAGACATTAAAAATGTATAAATATACATAAAAAATAGGCTTTGCTGCAGTCACTTTCACTTTAAAGGTGCTAATTAGAACACACTAAACATCAACACAGAAAACTATTAGGCAACAATTCTCTCTTTTCAAAGACATGAGAAAAATGTTTTATATGCCTGCAGGCGAGATAGGTTTGCCTCTTAGCATGCAAGTCACAACTGCTTATTAAATGTCAATCAACCAGTTTTTTTTCTCAGGTGCACACAATAACATTCATTGTGTAAAAAAGCAAGTTCAAATGTCAGACTAAAGCACACAGAAACAGCTCTGGGGATGTGAACTCTGCAGACGCGTTTTTCTCACTAAGGTTTTATCACTCAGCTGACAGGAATCAGTAAGAGGAGCTGAAGAAGTCTACATGCCGGCTCTGATTGGCTCCAGTGAAGGAATGCATGCAAGTCTTTTTTAATCAGCTCTGAAAACTTAGGGAGAGGAAAGGTGGTGTGTTTGATACGGCGAGCTACAGGCAGCGTGACTAAGAGCAGCGTGGATGCGACTATGTTACAATACAGTGGAAGGATGCACCGTCCTGTCCTCTCATCGTGTCTAATCACCGACTCAGACAATGCTTTTCACTTCATAAAGCCTTCTTGAGCCATTCTGGCTGAAAGTCTGAACTTGTGAAGGCCAACGAGTTAGACTCTAGGCCGTATCGTGGAAAAGGATTGGCTTGACCATGCCGGAGAGGATCTTGGGCACGTGGACGCTGACAATCTCCGAGATCATCTCAGGGAAGTTGACGCGCATCTGCAGGGACTGAGCTTGGATGAAGAGGTCATAGGTGAACTGGTGCAACTTCCTCACAACCTGAGAAGAATGAAAAAGGTGAAAAGGTTGTTAGAAAATGAGATGAAAACAAGGGAGAGGCTAAACTATAATGCGGAAGCTTGCAATTTAATGCAAGGCTCGGGAGAGTTGATACTCTGTGGTAGAGATGGGAAAATATCACAAACATCTGAATCAGTTCAGGTCTTGTGCCTGAAGGGCTCAGACAGAAGATTGCTGGCTCCATTCCAGTTCATGAGTCACAAAATCCAACGTTTAAGTGACAAAACCGCTCCCCTCTCTCTCTCTTCAGGAGGGAACCGCTGTGTGATCATCACACCCCCATCAGTGATCTTAGGAGGTTTCACTGACTGGTTAATTTGTTTTAAAGTCCCTCCTCATCCTGTTGGAGGAAAGTGGATTATCTGCCCCCTCTAGTGGTCAAACACCTGCGCAGAACACCCAAAATACTTCAAAAGTCTCTACAAAAATGAAATAAAATAAATGATGAACCTGAACTAATTTTAAGAACAAACAAATAAATGAAATGTAATAATAATAATAAAATAATAAAAGTGACATAAAGTAAAAATAATAATAATATAAATCAAGGTGTAAAGTCACTATCTGTTGGTGACTGAGCTGCAGGATGTTCTTGCTAAACATCAAACGTTCTGAATCTGTATAAATAAAAGAAAAACAGCTGGAACAGAAACGCTCTCAATAAACATCAAAAGATAAAAAAGGTGATTTTTTTGTTTAAACAGTCCTGTTCTCAGGCTTTCTCAAGCTTCAGTGATAAATATCATGGAAAATAAAGCTGAGCATCAGCCCGGCACGTCTGTGATGAATACGTTCGCCAATTTCCCTTGGCTACATCTGTATCCAGATGTTAGAGAAAAAACAGATCAATGGTAGAAAAAAAGCATGTACTGTGACCCTTTAATCTGAAGAAGTATTCCGAGTGTTTCAATGGTTCAAATTCCTTTTGCTTATTGTGAAAATGAAATGTTACAGAAGCATTTTTCTCCCAGGTGTCTCCTCGGTGAAGGCAAATTCAGCAGAAATGCCATGAAACGGTAACCGTTCAGGTTCCAGTGTTCGGTTTTAACACAAAGATCTGCAATCCATCAGTTTGGCCTGAAGGAGAATAAGAGAAGAAGTCTTTCTAGTAAATGGTTTTCCATCCAGAACTGACAGTACTGACAAAAAAAGACGAGCTGCGTTATTTCAGTAGAACTTTAGAGTTCAAAAACTCCAAGAAAACCCAAAGCTAATCAGTTCAGCTCTATGTAGCCCACCACCAAACACGTGTGTGTGTGTGTGTGTGTTAGCTAAATATCACATGAATTACTGGATAAAATGTAATTAGCCGTTGAGAAAGTAATCATTACATGGCTATTTATGACTGATTAATATTTAAAATGATCCAGGTCAAAGAAGGCCGCCCTAGCTAAGTTAACATAGAAAACATAAGAATGGCTGAAATTCTGTCCGTGTCAGCACCAGTGTCGGACACCGACGCTCTGGGACGCTGCGTCAGCAGTTAATCCCTGATCGTCGTCTCCTGACGCGCTGGGGCGTCCCGATTTGTCACATATTGAGGCTTGGTCACGCGTCATATTTTAACGCCTTGGGTGTGAGAATGTGTTGGAAATTCGGTCAGATTTACAGAAGAAGAAAAGATCATTTCTATAGAGCCTCTCAAGATAAAAATCATGAGGTGCTTCACAAAAACAAAAAATGTAAAAATATTTTTAAAAATTATTTAGAAAATGATTAGAAATATATTTAAAATGAGCAAAAAATAATAAATAAATAAATAAATAATGCTGAGCTTAAATGTGATGTTTATAGCTACAGGGCATTGGCTACACATGACAGCAGGATTTTGAATATTTGTGCAAAGTTTGTGTTTAAAACTTTGCATTAACTGGTGGGAGACCACTTGTTTGTCAGTTGGACAGATTTGAACAAAGCTTTGGTAAAGTCCCGGCTTCAGAAGCAACCGAGCTTAGAAAACACTACGACTGTTTAAAGTCAGAGCTACTGGACTAAAGTTTTAACTCTTAGTACCTGAAAGTCATTGATAACACATGATCTAGTACTAAAAGATCGTTCATGACTTTGCAATATTTACTTTGTCATGCACACTCACCTAAATGATTATTAGGAACACCATACTAATATGGTGTTTGACCCCCTTTCACCTTCAGAATGGCCTTAATACTACGTGACATTGATTCAACAAGGTGCTGAAAGCATTCTTTAGCAATGTTGGCCCATATAGAGCTCCGGACCCCACCTGACTCTCAGTTAGTAGACGCCATATTGGCAGGTAAAAGAAGCTAAACAAACACGGATCGTAAACATGAACGTGAACGGGATTGGCTTGGATTTTACTTCATCGGAGTTTACTTCACACTTTAAAACCGAAGAAATCGTTTTATATAGTCAGAAATTAAATAGACTAAACATCTCCGACCCTTACCGTGCCCCTGGGATACTTTTTAAAAACGCCAGAAGCTGTCGGAGCGGACTTCTTACCGGACCTGGCCGGGGGACCCCTTGGGATTCCCCCGGAGGAGCTGGCTCAGGTGGCTGGGGAGAGGGAAGTCTGGGCCTCTCGACGCTACTGCCCCCGCAACCCGACTCCGGATAAGCGGATGAGAATGGATGGATGGACAAATAACAGATTTACATGTAAGTAGTTTAAATAGAGTGCTGTGCTGTTTGAATGTATAAACTGAACGCCAAGAGAAATCACTAGTCTGATTTTATCCGTGAATAAGATAAATATGTCAGGCAGGAGCGTCTCAGGATCTGTCTGAGATCTGTCTCGGTGAGACAGATAATAGCAATCCAAAGTGCTTTTTATGTGTGATCTGACAACTGATCAACCATTGCTTAAAAATGAAATACAGCTTAGCCGGTTAATTGCTGTCATCATAAAACACGTAAACGGCAGCACGCAGAACTCACGAGGCAACGTTTTACGTGATGTTTACTTGTTGCTATGAGTAATAAGACAGAAAAAGCCACGCCAAAATAAGTTTAGGACGCCCACTAAGAATCGTAATAAAAGCATTTAAAATAAATACCATACACAGTTGAGGAAACGTTGGTTTAAGTACCTGATATGAAGCGGTCGCTGCATAAGCGAAAACCTTTACTCTCGGGATCCCACAGTTTCATTTTAGCCCGGTCACTAGCGCGTTTTATTATAATGATCCAACGTTTGCGACGCTCCGGATCTTGGGGAATCCTGTACACGGCTCATTCCCAGTGTTGGGAGTAATGCCGTTTAAATATAACGGCGTTCTTTTTTAGGTAACGGAATAATCTAATTAATTACTTTTCCCACTGCTGCAATGCCGTTACCGTTACTGGGGACGGAAGGTTGTGCGTTACTATGTGCTTGTCGAACGTTGAGCAACAGTGTGAGGCTTTCTGACCGCCACACTTCAGCTGCAGCCAGGGAGAGAGAGGTGTCGGTGACGCACGTACAAACACGATGATGATTGGCCGGGTGGGCGGAGACCCTCACGGTCTCAGTCGCTGCCTGCTGTAGACACAACAGAGCAGTGATGGGAATAACGCCGTTTAAAATAACCACGTTAATAAATAAAAATATTTCTTTCTGTAACGAGCAAACTAATTAATTACCGTATTCTTTTAAGAAAACGTCGTTTCTGTTACTGATAAGGAAATGCGTGCGTTAAGCAGCGCGGTGTGTTGAAGCTGTCATCAGCTGATCAGGAGCTAAAGAGATAGATGTTTTCATCCAAGCGCATCACGGCCGTGAAGAACGAGGAAGTCGTGATGAATATCTACGGCTGCAGACCCCCCGCAGATTCGTTGCTGCAGCAGTGAATCTGCGGGTCTGCAGCCGTGCCCTAGCGTGACAGCGGGACGCCCCGAAGGTCCGCTCACCTGTTCACCGCTCAGACGTCCTGATCTTCTACCTTCCTAGATCATCCAGCTGTAACCTGTTTCTAATCATGTCTTTAGTCCCGCTGTAACACTGATGCATCAGTCTCAGACGTCATGGAGCTCAGGTGTTATTAGAACTACCTGTGTGTGTTCACCACCCAGCTTCTGTGGTTGGGTCTGACCCAAGTTAGTAAATGTAAGCCCTCCGTCAGGCTTGTGCCTCTTCTAGTGTCATTTTAAAGGATTTTATTTATTTATTTAACCATTAATAGATGTGAAGCTGGAAAAATTAGAATACTGTGCAAAATTACATTCATTTCTGTAATTTAACTAGACTGAGAGACCATGTAAAGACTCGGGAACCTTTACAGGTGTTTCTATTTGCAATTTTAAATTTTAACTGATTGGGGTCTTGTTAAATATCACACAGTGACCTTTTAATAGTCTAGATTTGTGTAATGTTCCTATTAGTAGTTCCTCCTGTTAAGTGCTTATTTATTTAAATTATTCAGGTTTATAAAAAACATTTGGACACACATTTTATTATGTTCCAGTCATTAGTCATTTATATTTCACTATTGTAGTAATTCTTGCATGCTTTAATGAAAAATGTAACTAAGCAGTTATTTTTCTTGGTAATTGGTTACTTTTATAATCTTGTAACTCAGTTAGTAACTGAGTTACTTTTTTGACAAACTAATCAGCAACTATAACTAATTACTTTTTTAAAGTAACGTTCCCAACACTGCTCATTCCTTATGTCGTCCGCATCTGTTCTGCATCCTGGGGCACAACAGGAATCTACCATATTTCCCGTTTGATTGAGTTTTCTGACAATAACAAATAGTCCAGCTGCGGGCTTCTGCCTGCCTAATGGCGCCGTTTCGATTTGAACTGTTGCATGCCGGGAGAAGTGACGTCAACTCCCGGAGCTCTATTGATAGGATATAATCTTGCAGTTGATGGAGATGTGTGGGATGCACATCCAGGGCACGAAGCTCCCATTCCACGGTTCCACCACATCCCAAAGATGCTCTATCGGGTTGAGATCTGGTGACTGTGGGGGCCGTTGTAGTACAGTGAACTCATCTTCATGTTTAAGAAACCAA